ATTATGAAAAAAGGTAATTAAACTTTTAATTAATTTTTTCTTTATTGTTGAAAAGCTAAAACACCTAATTAGGAAAAACAACAAATAGGAAGAAAAAAATACTTAAATAAACAACAAATTTTATTATATTTTCTAAGATTCCAACCATTTGAAAAAATTACAATAAATTATACTTTACGAGATGCATAAGTCGGATACATCACTTTATGTGATGTATCGATCGAATATATCACTTTACGTGATGTACCGGTCGGATACGTCACTTTACGATGAATCAGGACATTACTTTGTGCAATGTATCGGTTGGGTAAATCACTTTATGCAATGTGTCAGGACGTATGTGATGTATCATGACGTTGAGTGATGTATCCGAAACCGAGACTTGATGTATCAGGACGTTGAAGGATGTATCCGAAACCGGAATGTGATGTATCGGGACGTTTTGGGATGATCCAGATTTCACCAAGTTTAAGGGATTTTTGTAATTTCAAAAAGAGAATAAATAAGATATAATTAACTCTTAACACTATGAGATTTGTGTAAAATCTACGAAACAATACATGTAGAATTACTAGTATCTCTTAGTTTGACTTCAAACTTTCCAATTATTTATTTATTTACAAAAAATATCACTTTTTTTTTTATATATATTTTCTCTGTTCATTTTTATCTATTCATTATTTCAAAAATATTTTTTTCCGTTTATTTATTACTTTTAACATATCAAGATTTTTTTTGTACAATGTTAAAAACGCGCCTAAACTATCTTTTTTTTTTTTTTAGTTTCAAACTTAAACTATTTGGAGTATGAGAAGCACACTTAGATTATTTCAAATTTTCTAATGACATGTTTAAAACCACAAAATTAAAAGATCATTTTAATATATTTTAGTTTAAGATCACTAATTTAAAAATCTTCTTTATTTTCTTACATTTTATGTTAGTTCAAAATCAGATAAATAAATTAGGAATAAGGCACAAGTACCCCCTATACTATGACCAAAATCTCAGAGACACACCCTAACTAAAATAAGGTCCTATTACCTCCTTGAACTTATTATTTTTGTAATTTTGTACATCTTTTATCTTATGTGGCACACTCCGTGACTCCACGCAATTGAGGCGCGTGAGAGATATTTGGATGCCACATAAGCCTAAAAGGTGCATAAAATTACAAAAAAATGGGTTTAGGGGATAATATGACCTTAGTTTAATTAAGATGTGTTTCTGGAATTTCGATCATAGTCTAAAGGGGTACTTGTACATTTCCCCAATAAATTAAAACAAACGTAGTATAATTTTGTAGAAAGCCAGGGTGTCCTTCATTAAAGGATTCCATAATTAGATGCACAAGTCAGTCATTATATATGAATGATGTAATAACGATGACGTAAAATCATTTTGATGGATAACGTGTGGTTGAATATTCAAGATGGCGTAATTTTCAATCTTAAAAGAATGCTCCTCCAATCGACCAATATAATTAATGAGGACTGAGGAGTGGTTGTTGGTATCAGTGTTTTAAAGGTGAGGACATAAAGCGGATTGTTATACTTAATTAATATAGAGCAAAACGTAAGTCTCAACTTGTGATGTACAAGTTTCATGAATCTTTTATTATTTTAGTTATAGTATAGTAAAAATAATATTATCATTCTACCTTTATTATAAACAAAACTCAAAAAGTAGTAAAAGAAGACATATATATATATATAAATATAAATATAAAGTGTTACCAATTAATTAAGATTAACTAGTTATTTTTAGGGTTGGGTTAGATGTATATGTCATATTTTTATATGGTATCAGAATCATGTTCATCCTTATTTGTGTTGTTGGTTCATGCTCTAGTTGTCTCTGGAGTCTGGACATGAAGGATGTGTTAGAGTTGATTTGGAATTTCACATTGATTGGAAAATGAACTGACGATCTTCTTATATAAACTTGACCAATTATTTACTCATAAACTAATTTTTGGAGTTGAGTTAAGCTCTTATGACGTATCTTTACAAATAAAAACGTTAGAATTTAAAAATATCTAAATTTAACTTCAGAGAGAAAATAATTTTGATTAGTGCAATTTGACGTAGGAATAAAGGAAAATCAAAAGAGATAGATGGGACCAAAGGAACATCAGAATCACGTGATAATTTGAAAGTAATTGTGTGATGTATCACAACTCACAAGAATCGTATGACTCCCTTCAATATTAGTTTAATTTTTATATTCTAAAACAATAATGTAAAAAATATACTATACAAATACTAGTTCACCTAAAAAATAGTTATAGTAGTTGTCTTTAAAAGGTGGATTAAAATAGCTTAAAGAATGATCTTTTTAATACTATAACATGTTAAAATATACTTTTAAGTGTTATAAGTCAAATTCATACACTAACAAGGATTGTGATGAAATGATAAGTACTCTTTCATCTTTAACCAAGAGGTCTCGGGTTCGAGTCTCCTTGTGTACGGAGTCGTCTTTGTTAGGGAGTGCTTTACCCCAATATGAAACTTCCCGGAGCGAATTCAAATTTAGTCGAGCTCCAATATGGATATCGAGCACCAAATAGAAAAAAAGAAGAAGTCAAATTCATACGCATAAATCCGCAATCACTTTATCTTGTCCCACCTTATCCTATATATATATATATATAGCATAATTTTAGTATTTTAAACCCAATTCGTCTCAGCTCAATACTAAAAAAAACTGCTAAACCCAATCTAAGTAAATAGATAAAAAATATCTCCTCCATTTTTTAAAAGAAACATACCTCATGCTCATGAGATCGGTTAAATGATTAAAACAAGAGCAACTTCCACATATAGCAAATATAAAATTCATATTTATATGCTATAACAAAGTTTGCATAATTGCGCTCCATAACAAACATATATATGTATAATTCGCTATATCTATAAAAAAAACAGTTGTATAATTCACTATACATATACAAAGAAGACAGTTGTATAATTCTATACATATACAAAAGAAAGCAGTTGTACACAAAAGATCAATTGTATAATCTGTGTATATATAAAACGAGAAAGAGAGAAAGGCAAAAGAAAACTAGACAGGGAAATATTTGTATTGTATAATTATAAGTGTATCAGACGAAGATATATGTATTTGCATGTATATATACAATTTTCTCTCGTTTATACAAACAGAAGCGCAATTTATACATTTCGTTTCTGTTTGTATAAGCGAGAGAGGCGAGGGTGGCGAGCGAGATTTGGGAGAGTGGCGAGCGAGATCTGGGAGAGGAGAGAGAGGGGGGAACGAAAATATATGTATATATACAATTTCCTCTCGCTTTATACAAACACAAACATATTTTATACATTTGTGTTTGTATAAAAGCAAGAGAGGTGAGCGAGACTGCCACCAAACGAGAGTGGCGAGCGAGATTCCACCAGGGAGAGTGGCGAAAATAGCAATAGTTTGCTATAGGGTACAATTAAATCAAAGTATATTTATAGCATTTAATTTGAATTAATAGTTTGCTATTATATACAATTTTCCCTTAGAAAAAACAGGAAATATTGATACCGACTTCATGAGGTCGGTACGTTTTTAAAGTAATTAAAAATAAATCACAATTGCGACCTCATGAAGTTTCTATAGTTAAATTATTATTTTTTTAAAAAAACATTTTAAAAATGTCGAGTTCATCTAGTTGATTTTTCCAAACAAAAATAAAATAAAATAAAACTCAACCTCCTTAGGTCAATTTTTTTTGAAAAAATAAATTTGAAGAATATAAATAAATTAAATAAAATCCTAAATCAACAAGCGTTGATTTTCAATAAAACAGATCTCATGACGTCGCTTTAACGTTCTTTTATTGATTGTGCAAATTCGATTCCTATGTTAATGAATAATTGGTTTTCATACCCAATCAATATGTTAATTTATATATGAATTGAAGAGTAATTTGTGATTTGTATCCTAACGTGTGCGCTTTTTAGTGGCTTACATCTTATCCTGTTATTTTAAATAATTTGTACCTTAATAATCTTAATTCTTGGCAAAATCATAAAAGTCATTATCTTTTTCTATTATTAACAAAGGTAAAATAGAAAAATTAACAAGTTATTATATTTTTAGAATTTTAAAATATAATGATATAATTAAATTGCTTTCTGTCAATAACATAATTGATTGTCTGGTGTTTCTTTTTATTTTAAAACAGAGAAACAAAAAACGTTCTTATCGACTTATGGACAAAACATTCTACCCCAACAAAAAAGAAAGAAAGAAAAGAAACCCACCAAAATTTGAATTTACTTATTAATGGGTTGATGTGATAATAGTATTACTAGTTAAACACCACAAATATCAACTAATGGAAAAAAACAACTGTTTAGCTAAAAATGGAAGAGATTTATCTTAAAGTTAATGATTTCCCTTTCGAGAGAGATTAATATTAAAACTAAAACATAAAAAAAGTACTAGAAAGTAGAAACGAATTACTGTTCTTCGTTTTCATGAAATATACCATTCTCATTTTACCGCCAAGTGAAACATATTAGACTACCCTCCATATTTATATATTCACTACTAAAAGTCACTATCTTTTTATTGCATTTTTTATTGAAAAATATTCAGTAGATATTTTCATCGATATATAATTTGATTGAATCAATGAGAAGTTTCTCACCATAATTTCTTCAGAGAAGAATGAGTGAGAAAATCATATTTTATATATAATACAAATTCTCGACTGATTGATGATAAAGAAAACTGTTATTTCTAGTAATGATTTATACTATACATCTATCAGATATTATTAGCTTAAACAATTAAGTGGACGACTATTTAGATCATTTTTTATTTTTTTTCAATAGATTACCAAGTTAACCACGATAGGTAACATCCATAAAAGGTAAATTAGTAACCTAAAAAATAAGATATATTATCTATTACTCTATAATAAGTTAAAGTTAAAATACACAAATAGTGCAAAAAAATATTTGCCTTATATATAAGTCCCAAAAACCTCAAAAGATTCACTATTGCTAGTTGATTCTTTCACTTCCAAAATCATGTTTTCCTCTTCCTTCTTATCACCTTATTCTCTTACTTCTTTATTAATCTTGATTCTATGTATTGTTGGTGTTGATTTTGTCTCCACAACACAAACCAAGATTGGCCAAGGTTACAAGTTGATCTCCATAGAAAAATCACAAGATGGAGGCCTTATAGGTCTCCTCCAAGTCAAGGAGAAGAACATTATTTATGGGCTAGATATTCCTCATTTGAAGCTCTATGTTAAGTAAGTTTTTCCCTTTTTTCATGACTCAAATAAATAAATAAATAAATCATTTCTTAGACTTGCATGATGAACATCATTCTTGAAAAATATAATTGAATCTTTATGTTGAGTTTGTGATTGTTATCTAGACATGAAGATCATTCTTGAAGAAAATAATTTGACTTTGTGTCAATTTTGTGATTATTATCTAGGCATGAAAATCATTCTTGATTCCTTTTTTTTTTGAATATTTATGTTAATTTTGTGGAGTAATTAAAATCCAAACATGAACATCATTCTTGAAAGAAAAAAAATGAATGTGTCAATTTTGTGATTATAATTCAGGCATGAACATCATTCTTGATTTTTTTTTTTTTTTTTGAATCCTTGTGTTAATTTTGTGGTTATTATCCAGGCATGAGACGGATAATCGTTTGAGGGTTCATATAACTGACGCAAAAGAGCAAAGATGGGAAGTTCCTTACAACTTACTACAAAGAAACACACCCCCATCATTGAAACAAAATGTTGGTGGTGAATCAAGAAAGAATCTTTTTTCATCAGTAGTAGCAGAGTCAGAATATTCCGGAAATGAGTTAATATTCAATTACAAAAATGACCCTTTTAGTTTTTCTGTGAAAAGAAAATCAAATGGAGAGACCCTTTTCAATTCAAGCTTTGATGATTCAGACTCATATAACAATTTGGTTTTTAAAGATCAATATCTTGAAATATCAACAAAATTGCCCCAAAATGCTTCTTTATATGGTCTAGGTGAAAATACACAACCCCATGGTATTAAAATTTACCCAAATGACCCTTACACTTTGTATACAACTGATCAACCAGCTATTAATTTGAATATGGATTTGTATGGATCACACCCTATGTATATGGATTTGAGGAATGTGAATGGAGTTGCAAATGCTCATGTTGTTTTGTTACTAAATAGCAATGGGATGGATGTGTTTTACAAGGGAGATTCTTTAACATACAAAGTGATTGGGGGTGTTTTGGACTTTTACTTCTTTTCTGGGCCCACACCACTTGATGTTATTGATCAATATACTTCATTCATAGGAAGGCCTGCTCCAATGCCTTATTGGTCTTTTGGTAAGTTTGATGTTCTCTCATCTTCTTTAATGTATTTGTATTTAGAGATAATACATGAACATGTCGTTTAATTTGATCTTAGCTGATATTTATGTCTTTCAGTCTTGAGCGTATATAAATAGACAACACATCGTCTTATATGACATAAATTTATTTTATATTATGTAAGACACGTATATCTATTTGTTCACACGCAAAGTTGAAGGGCGTAAATGACATATGAAATTAGATTAAAGAACATATTTATGTATTTTGTCTTGTATTTATTGTAACAATCTTTGATATTTGTTTGTTTTATTGGTACATCTCCCAAATTATAGTCAATTTTCTTAATAACAACATTGTTTGTTTGAACATTTTTTGATTGCTATAGCAAGATATTGCTATAAAGAATATATAACATGACATGAAAGTCGTTTTTAAAAAATTAAACTTTTATAAGACTTGTAATAAAATGTTATTATAGAAATGATTGTTATATAAAGGTCTGACTGTACGTTCTTTAACCCTGAGGGGTAGCTCAGCTGGTAAAGGCCTGGGACAAAGTCCTTCAGGTCGCCGGTTCGAGCCCCAGCAGGGCCACTGGAGGCATTACAAACCGGCCGCGTCTCCAGGGCCCCGTGGAACTAACCGTGGTGGACCCGCCTTGAAACAGAGGGACCCGGTGGGTACAGTTAGTCGGGTTCGCAAAGCGACGCCCGGAAACCACGGTAAAAAAAAAAAAAAAAAAAAAGACTGTACGTTCTTTGTCCTTTTATTTTTGCCTTCCATCTCAGTTTAGCTCTTTTTCTCCCCATTACAAAATTATCAAATACACAATCATTATTCGTAAATCGTAATATTTAAATTTTGAATTTGTCTTGATTATTGGCTGGAAATAAAGGCGGTGGGAGAATATTTGTAAGTTTTATATTTTGTCTTGATTAGAACCCGTGAGTGGCCTTTATATAAATTTTGTCTCTGTTTTTCTATTAGAATAAATTTGAATAAGTTAGAACCCGTGTTATGTACAAAACAAAAATACTCTTAATTAATTTTTGTCTATTGGTGTTATTTATTTCCTTTAATAAAATTTTGTTACGTATTTTTTTAATTATATCGGGGTAGGTAGGAGAAAGAAAAATAGGTAACGAAATCACAACATAGAAATCGAACCCTTATTAATAAGATAAAATTTAGATAGTCAATGAATTGAGTTATTAGGATCGTGAATAATCTCAATAATCTCACCAATAAAGTCTAGAAAAAGTTAGATTTATGATGTACACAATCTTATTCCTACTCTAAAAAATAGAAAAGTTGTATTCGATAGAATCTCGATTATTTCTATTTTACATAAGTGGAAAGATTGTAGGCATCTTTTTTTTTTCTTTGCCACTTTGGCTAATCATAATAATGCACTATGAAATGTCTTCCACTTTAAGGGCTTTAATAATTTACATAAAGGTATCTCTACAGAGCCCACATTTAAGTAGGTCTAAGTAGTAGATATTAATAAATTTTTGTAAGACTTGTCTTTATTTTGGGGTGATCTTTTATTTTTATCCTCAAAATTGACGGGTTTTTAATTTTTACCTATATTAATCATCTAATAAAAAATTATGGATTAATATATCCTTATCTATTCAAACATAATTTCCTCAGCATAAATTACATAGGAATTAAGTTATGTTACATAAGTTTGGTAGTATTTTTCAAAATTTATTATAGTGTTCAAAAACTAGAGTTATGCCTTTTGGGCACATGTTCTTTAATTTAACAGCTAATGTGTAAGATATTACGATATGAATATATGAACTTTACCTCACGAAAAGTTATTTCTTTATTTCGGTGTTAGGACTTATAACACTTGATCTTTTCTTCGTTGTATCAATATAGTTTAACCTGTTATAACAAGTTACTCACCTTTTAACTTTGAAAGTGAATAACTATTAATGTTTGGTAAATGTTGTTAATAACTCATTGTATACATCTCCTTGTTGTGATTGCTACAGGATTCCATCAATGTAGATGGGGTTACCACAATTTATCAGTAATTGAAGATGTTGTTGAGAACTACAACAAAGCCAAAATCCCTCTTGATGTTATCTGGAATGATGATGATCATATGGATGGTAAAAAAGATTTCACTCTCAATCCTGTTAACTATCCTCGTCCGAATTTGCTAGCTTTCTTGGACAAAATTCATGCTCGTGGCATGAAGTACATTGTCATCGTTGATCCTGGAATCGGCGTTAACAACACTTATGGTGTTTACCAAAGAGGTATAGCTAATGATGTTTTCATCAAATATGAAGGCAAGCCTTATTTAGCTCAAGTTTGGCCTGGTGCTGTCAATTTTCCGGACTTTCTGAATCCGAAGACTGTTGAGTGGTGGGGTGATGAAATCAGGAGGTTTCGCGAACTTGTGCCTGTGGATGGACTCTGGATTGATATGAATGAAGTTTCTAACTTTTGTTCGGGTTTGTGTACAATCCCTGAAGGCAGGATATGTCCTACTGGCACCGGTCCTGGTTGGATATGTTGCCTGGATTGCAAAAACATAACGAATACTAGATGGGATGATCCGCCTTATAAGATTAATGCTAGTGGAATACAAGCACCAATTGGTTACAAAACCATAGCGACTAGCGCGGTTCATTATAATGGAGTTAAGGAATATGATGCTCATAGCATTTACGGGTTGTCTCAGTCCATTGCAACTCATAAGGCACTTCAAGGACTCGAGGGGAAGCGTCCTTTTATATTGTCTCGTTCCACATTTGTTGGTTCGGGGCATTATGCTGCACATTGGACAGGGGATAACAGAGGAACTTGGGATGATTTGAGGTATTCAATAACTACAGTGTTGAATTTTGGATTGTTTGGTGTTCCTATGGTTGGTGCTGATATATGTGGATTCTATCCAGCACCAACGGAGGAGCTTTGCAATCGTTGGATTGAAGTTGGCGCGTTCTATCCATTCTCAAGGGATCACGCGAACTACTATTCACCAAGACAAGAGCTTTACCAATGGGAGAGTGTGGCTGAATCTGCGCGAAATGCTTTAGGAATGAGGTACAAGTTACTGCCATATTTCTATACTTTGAACTACGAGGCACATACTACTGGTGCGCCAATTGCTCGTCCCCTCTTCTTCTCTTTCCCAACTCTACCAGAACTTTACGACGTGAGCACTCAATTCCTTGTAGGAAGCAGTGTCATGGTCTCACCAGTGTTAGATCAGGGGAAAACAGAGGTGAAAGCTCTGTTTCCCCCTGGTACGTGGTACAATTTATTCGATATGACACAAGCAATTGTCACAAAAGACCTACATTACCTCACATTAGACGCGCCTCTAAATGTGGTCAATGTACATGTCTACCAAAACACCATCATACCAATGCAACGCGGTGGGATGATATCAAAAGAAGCTAGAACGACACCTTTTACCCTTGTAGTCACCTTACCATCGGGGACAAATGACATAGAAGCTAAAGGAAATCTTTTCCTCGACGATGATGAGCTTCCTGAGATGAAACTTGGAAACGGGCACTCAACGTATATCGATTTCCATGCAACAGCAAGTAATGGAACAATGAAGTTGTGGTCAGAAGTTCAAGAAAGTAAGTTTGCATTGGATAAAGGATGGTTCATTGAGAAGGTTATAGTTTTAGGCACCAATAATACTGATGGAGCTTTTGAAATAAACGTCGATGGACAACCGATCGAAGATGCTTCAAGAGTGAAGTATAGCACAACAGAACACAAGTACATAAACAATTTGGATGATGAAGTTGATAAGAGAAAGAGTATGATGATGGATATTCATGGACTGGAATTGCCTTTAGGGAAGAATTTTATTATGTCCTGGAAAATGTGAACCAAAATGTGTGAATTAATTGCCTATGTCCTATATTAGTACTTAGTAGGTCTTCAAGTTTATTAATGAAAAGGAGCATACAAATAAGCTATGCTAGTCGGACTCTTTAAAAAATTCTACATTATTTATCATATGAGAAGATTGATTAAGGTATTTTAATAAATTTCTTTTAGAGTCTATTACTCATCAAAAATGTCATTCAATATTTCGATCAGTTTCAGAACCCACAAATTGTATTGTACAAGGGATAACTTAGTTCAAGTTATATCGATAAAGGCATATATAAGTTCAGTTTACAGAACCAACAAAGTTATGTTGTAAGAGACCAGTAGCAAATTTCTAGCCTAAAATATGAGACACGTGAACCTGTGGTCTCTCCATGAAACCAAGTATTTTATGTATATATATTTTTTATAACATTGGTAATAATATTATCTGCTAATTCATGCTATAAGAAGGCTAAATGGTATACTTGGTTGATAGTTGAGTTCTTAGCCTAGAGGACTAGAGATGAATTTCCATTTTAATACACTTTTTGCTTCTTTTTTTAGTGGTGTACCATGTTGTTGAAATCCTAGATTCACTTATGTTAAAAAGGTGTACCTTATCCTATTTCCAAAACTTATGGCAATATTTTCTAAATTTATGTTGATTGAATTAAATACTACACAACTTATGCTATATAACTTAATTCTTATATAACTTATGTGGATAAGATAATAGCTCTCTAAACTTATGCCTTATGAAATTAGGTCATAAATAAGGATGTTTTGACTCACAAATTTTCATTAAATAAGTAGTAGAAATAAAAATCAAAGGCCATCCCAAAATAAGAGCAATTTGTACAAAAACTTCATTTTTAATCGATATTATCTAGTAAAATCATATTTCTTTTATTTATAACACACAAAAGAACTTCATTATTAATTGAAATTATCTAATAAAATCACGTTTCTTTTATTTGTAAGTTATAACATATAACACAAAAGTCATTTAAGGGCCCGTTTGGCCATGCGATATGGAAATCACGATATGAAATCATAAGTTGAAATTGAGTTTTGTTAGGACATGCGATATGAAATTTTTGTGTTGTATATTTCCTCATAAACATAAGAATCTCATAAGTTGCAAAACTATTAAACTAACCCAAATTGTTTATTCAATCTTACCAAATAAACATAAATTTATAAAATCGCATGATAAATTATTACAAAGCTATTTGTTCTCCACTTAAGTGACCGTTTCATCTAACTTTAATTCAATAAAAAAATTGAAAATAAATTGTAGTGTCCTAATCTTTAACATAATCCTCCTACATAGTACGTACAATCTCCTCACGTTGAACTTGCATTTCTCGATCATATGACCGAGAAAATGAACAAACATTGTTAGTTTGAGCCATTTGTTGGTCAATATCATTTGCAACTATATTTTCATGCTCATAGACCATAAATATTTCATCACTCCTTTGGTATTCTCGCAAATAATTATGTAACACTATACAAGCTACGTCAACTTTCACTTGTGTGTGTCAATATCATAATGGTTCATGTCTTGTTTCACTTGTGTGCAATTACACATTTTCAATGCATTAATTTCGTGTTAAAATCAAACGTATTGGAAGTAATGATTATCAAACATACATCACCAATTTTGTCCTTTTTCATATTGAATTGCTTTAAACATTTTCATATGTAGCCGAGAGAGAAGTTTTTTTTATTATGAAAAACCAAAAAAGTATTACTCCCTCCGTTCTTATTCAGATTCACCAAATCAATTCCTACTTTATCATTTATATTCACCAAATTTAAAGTAATAATAAATTTTATGTTGGTGAGACTAATAAATTTTAAAATGTAGTGATGTTATTATAAATTTTATTTAAATATGAAATAAATGGTTAGTAGATATAAATATGAGGTTGTTTTAACAAAATATAAACTTGTGGGTCAATTTTTATATTTAAAAAAAATCTCAAAATCATGATATGAAATTCCCAAATCATGATTTTTAGAGAATATGGGATTCCATCTCATGATATGAAATCATGAGATATAATCAACATGAAATCGCATGTCCAAACACTAATTTCATTTCACGATTTCGTATCATGATATGATATCACACGGCCAAACGCCTGCTAACTATACCTACTACACTGTAAAGGTCACCCAACCAAATTTCTCCAAAAACTTTCAGTATGCCCATTCTTCATCACATATAAATAAATTTAGGTCCATCTTTCACTGCTTTTTTATTACACTTAACCTGGTCATTTTATGTACTCTTCTAGGGAGCAAAAATAAGTCACTCAATTAATAATTTCAAGCATTGAATCTTTTTATGTATTTATTGGAGATATATTGTATGTCACGTTATTGGCACTTGGCAGCCATTGGTAGAAATCAAATTATTTAATAGTGTAGCCCACATTATGTATTGGCCTACACCAACCTTTATGAAAGGGAAGGCTTTGGACTGACCATGCCCAATAATTGTACGTGTCTAAGGTTTTTTCCCCTCAAAAGATAATTAATACAACAATAATTTTAAGAAAATACTTTTAATATAGCGTAGGGAGCTAATTCAAATACATGTTAGGAGGAGAGATGCGAGCACAATTTGAGAGAGAGAGATTGTATATAAATGAATATAATTAAATACAATTGTATCTAAGTTGTATTAGATTGTATCAAACAATAAAAATTGTATCAAATATATTGTTTCCTGTGTATTCACCCTGTATCAACGAATTATATCAAGTTGTATTAACAAAAACAATTATATCAAGGTTATATGTTCCTTATGTATTCACTTTGTATCAAGTGTATCAATATAAATATAGTTATATCAAGTGTATACATCTGTATCATTTGTATACATTTATATCATGTGTTATATACTCTTTTAGAATATGATTGATACAATATTGTAACTCCCCCTCATTCAGAAATACTGAGAGTCTGAATATGAAATCGAAGAGCAGAAAAGAAAGAAGAGAGGTCTCCACCATTTCTAACTTGATACAAATCTCTCGCCAAATTTGTGTCAGTAATATCCCCAATTTTCAAGCAGTCGAATAGAAAGGGAGGAGAGAGACGATCAAGAGAGGAACAACCGGAGGGAGTAGAGAGGAGACAGAGAGAAAGAGGGGGGTGGTGGTCTGCACAAGTAAACCTTTAACTTGGTCTCATTTCACATTTATACCTTCCAACTTTGGATCTGCACAACCAGACACTTACACTTGTATAAAGTCAAATAAGCAAATACATGAATCCTACGTGACATAATACACGTAGGACACCTCGTAGGACTCAAATTGTCATGTGGAATTCCACGTAAGATGCATGTGTTTATTTGATGAACTTTACAAATGTTTAATTGTTTGCTTGTGCACACTCAAAATTAGATGACATAAATGTAAGTGGATGCCAAGTTAAATGACATATTTATGTATTATGCCTTTATAATTTATTTCACTTCATTTAAGCACATATTAAGTCTTAAATTGTAAAATATGAAAGTTATCTTCATTTTAATTTACATATAAAATACAAACTTTTAACTAATCAATTAAAATAATATATAATTAAAAATACGTAATTCACCAAATTATTCCGAGATAATTTTAATACCATATTACTATTCTATCCAGATAAAAAATAACTTATCTCAATACTAATTATTAATTTTAAAATATATTATTCCAAACTTACCAATCAAAATAATATCATAATTTAATTAGAAAACTATTTGATTTTATCCTTCGCACTCGACTCTCTTGTACTATTGAGATTGTGTGCCAATTGCCAAATATTGTCTGAAACAAAATCAGAAATAAGCAGCCACCTAACAGTGACACTCCATTGCCACTAGGAGGGGACAACACATCTCTATTCTTTTCAGCACTTCTTTATTGTGTTTCATTTCTACAAAATTCTGATTATTAAAAAACTTAGCAAAATCTTTTGTCTGATTCTGAAAAAAATTAATACTCCGTAGTAATTCTGACCATTGATTCCTAATCCTTTTTCTTTCTATAAATAGGAATATCTCATCCACTTTACTCCCTTTTTGCTCACTTTTTTGGACCAAGAACACCAAATTAACAAAGAAAAAATAGTGGGTTTTGAGAAATTTATGTCGGCAAGGTTTCATTTAGCTGTGATCGAATTTGGAGCACCATTAAAGCTCTGGTTTTCAGTTTCTTCACTTTTCTTGGTTGTCTGCGTGCAATTTTCCCCAATTTTATCGATGGGTTTGAGGCCCAAAAGGTACAATTTTACTTATCTTAAACCCTTGGTAGTATTTTTGTTCGATTTCTCGTATGGTCACTCAATTAATAGTTGATGGTCGTAAAAGTATGTTGAATTGTGGGGGTTTTTTTGTTGGTGCTTTTGGAAGCTGATCTATTGTGGGGTTTTGCTTCTTTTTTTTTTTTCAGGAATTGTTCTGGAGCTGTATTTTTTGAGGGATTTCATATAAAGCAATTTTTACATCTTATTTTGCTGTTGAGAACGCCACTTACTTGATACAAAAAGTGTAATCTTTACAACTTTTTCCCTGTTTTTTCCTTTTATTTTTTAGAAATTTTGAATTTTCCTTTTTTAAAGAACAAATTTTTGCTAATATTGAGGTTATGCTTAAGCCTTTGTCATCAAAATTTGAGAATCTTGGTAGAAACATGAAGAACAAAGTTGATACAAACAGATTAGTGAGGAAAATTAGGATTGTTTGTAATGATCCTGATGCTACTGATGATTCCTCGGATGATGAGAGGATCGATGATTCGAGGTATAAGCGTTTCGTTAGAGAGATTAAGTTGCAGATTGGCAACTCTTTTAATCTTACAAAAGCCTCTGAGACTGAATGTTCATTTCAAGATAGTAACAATGGAGAGAAAAAAACAAAGAAAGAGGGTTTAGTTAAACCCCTGATTCAACCAAGGCCAGCAGGGGGTTTATTATCGAAATACAAAGGTGTTCGTCAACGAAAATGGGGAAAATGGGCTGCTGAAATTCGTGATCCGTTTAAAGGCAGACGGGTTTGGTTGGGTACTTATAATACTGCTGTGGAAGCTTCTCGAGCTTACGAATTGAAACGTCTTGAATTTGAAACTAGGGCGAAGAATAGTAGCACAAATGTGTCCAAGGTGAGTTCTGGTTCAATGGTCTCTGAGTACCAAAATCAAAGCCAAAATGTTGCTAGTGGTGTCTCAGAGGACTATGCAGAAAGCTCGGTATCACGTACTTCACACTCCTTGTCATCATCATCAGTTCTTGAATTGGATACTTTAACTTCTGTATCCGCGTCTGCTCCAATTTTAAGACTTAATGGCCTAAACAATAATGAAAAGGCGAGCAATGTTACGCCTTTGGAGGCTAATGTTGTTGAACAAAAAGTACCTGAGTTGGCTATAATGGAGGAAACTCTACCTCTGTCTCAAATTGGAGAAAGTATGGACCTTGATTTGGAGCTCGAGTCGTTCCTCATTGGCGCTGATGATTTCAATCAGCATTTGGATGAGTTTGTTGTCAATGATTTTGAGGACCCTCCGGTTTGTCTAATCGAGGGTGATGAGCAATTGCCTACTGGTTTGCCTGATTTTGATGACTTCAATTTCGATGGCTACAATGAATCCTTTTCTTGGATGGATGATGCTCCACGGACGAATGGAACACCCCTCAATATAGCATGCCCATAATTTTGCAGCTAGGTGATGAGTTTATGTTTTGGTAGTATTAGTACTAAGCGTCAAAAGAGTTGTCTGTCTCAAGAATCAGTTAACTAGATGCTCGAGACTGTGATTTTCCTTAATCGAGTTCTACTTGTTTGTTAGTTCTAAGAAGTTATCGAGTCAAGGGGATGTTTTTGTCGTTTTCAAAGAAATTGCTAGTCCCTTTGGGTTTTCCCGTGCTCTTATGAGCCGTCCAAAGGGCTTCAATCTCAATGTGCTTAGTCTTCGAGTGTTTGTTGCCTGATGAAAGGGCTTCAAACGACTGTCATTTTATTCCCTATTATGCATCTTTTTTTGAACTATGTTATCTATGATGAGTATGATATGATATCTCTCAAAGACCTTTTTAAGACAGCTCTTTAGTTTTGTCTATACTTCTCCTTATTGATTCCCATAGTAAATTTATCTGTTTGATGCTTTCTTGGCCTAGTATACACTAGTTGTGTTAACCACTTCTTTTTGTCTAATAAGTTAGTGGATACAAAACATTTCTTTCAAATCATTTCAGAAAAATGATTTTCTTGAGCTGAATGTCTATCGGAAACAACCTCTCTACCTCATAAAGGTAGGGATAAGGTTCCAGACTCCATTTATGAGATTTTACCGGATTTGTTGTTGTAAGTTAGTGAACTCGTAACATTTTTTTCAAATCATGTTATGGAAAGTGATTTTGTTGAGCTGAATGTCTATCGGAAACAACCTTTACTCTATAAAGGTAGCGATAAGGTTGCTGAATGTCTATTGGAAATCACCTCTCTACTTTATAAAGGTTGGGATAAGATTCCAGGCTCCTCTATGAGATTATACTGGGTATGTTGTTGTAAGTTAGTGGACTTGCAACATTTTTATTTTCAAATCATGTTATGGAAAATGATTTTATTGAGCTGATCTATCGGAAACAACCTTTACCCTATAAAGGTAGATATAAGGTTTCAGACCCCACTTATTACTGAATATGTTATAATGTGTAAGTGGATTTAGTGTTTGGGTGCAGAAAAAAGTATGGTTGAAATTGGAAAGCTACACATGCCTAATATTCTGATTTAATATACTTTTGCTCTTTATGCAATGAACTTCCATAAGGACTAAACTTTAGGGTACTAGTGTAGTGTGCTAAAATCCAGAACACCATTTTTGACAATTTGTGTGTTCTGATCTTGAATAGGATAGCAAAAACCAAAGGTGGTTGAAAGATGTCACTCTATTTATATCACCTAGTTTAATTCAAAACTAAAGTTTAAAATACTAGGAAGATTTATGGTTTTAAATATGTTAGAATAATTGTGTGATTGTAGAATTCGTGATATTAAACATGTCATAATATTTGTAACAACATACCTAGTAAAATTTTACAAGTGAAGTCTATGTAAAAGTGGTGTATATGCAACCTTACTCCAACCTTTATAAAGGTAGATAGATTGTTGTTGATAGAGATTTTCACATGGTTTCAAAATTTTATATGAAGAAATAAAGTGAAAATACCTAGTAATCAATGAAATGGTTGAAAACCATGAGGTCTCGGGTTTAATTTTCAGCGGAGACAAAAAGAACTAGGTGATTCTTTCCATCTATCCTAGCCTTGATGGACAGAGTTACCTGGTACTAGCTGCTAGTTGGAGGTGACATATATCTCGTGGAATTAATCAAGGTGCGAGAAATTTGGCCCGAAGACCACAATCATAAAAAAGAAATATAATGTCACTATGAAATATTTGGAGGGTGCATGGCTTTTGGAAACTTAGAGAGCTAGTTCCATGCTGGCAGTCTCTATCAATATAGAACATAGGCCACTTGTTGTCCTTGAAAACAAAATGGCAAAAGCATCTCCTTCAACTAGAAAAAGGTCGATTTCGTTATAAGAGCAAGTGCCCAAACTAGATTGCAATAGTAATGTAGTACTATCGTGTTTCAATTTACGTGACACACTTTTTTTAATTAGTCTAAAAAAAATGACGCTTCTGCTCTAGAATGGAATCATTTATGATAGGGACAGAGGCGAATCCAAAACTATATATATGTTTATATTCATAAGTTAATAAATGCACGTGCACCCACTCTCTCAAACGTGAGTCCCCTTTGCTTTAGAGGCATGAATTTTAATTAGTCGAATGCTAAAGCAAGTATACACGATATCAATCGAAAAAAAGGATGACATGAAATTTCTGTCTATTCTTTTTCCTAGTAATTGTAATTTGTATATTATCTATTGGATACCCTAGCTTGTAGCTGATTATGCCGTTATGGCTGTGATTGAATGTTACAAATGCCAAATTCTTTAATTCCAAATGGGACCAGGTTAGTCACTTTATCTTCTGATTTTTATGTATTTTTGTTATTTATACAATGAACTAACTCTTGATGCTAACGGAATAAATATATACATTAATAAAGAGTATTAAATCTTTTATTGACATTACTTAATTGACGCCATTGAATCCAATGTTGCTATAGGCTTTAGGAACATTTATAAAGAATGCTAATTGTCGTTGATTAATTAACGTTAAAAATCATTTTTGATATTGTGATCGTGCTCTGGTGTGCTAATGAAAGTGTACTAAATCCTCCCACACCATCATAATCAATAAAATTTAATTTGATACTGAAATCTGCAAATCTTGTGCTTTTGACTTTTCAATTGAGTGGTGGCTCTTGAAGTTTGTTAGGTGCTATATATGGTGGACCAGTATTTTGTTGATCATTGGAAGTGCACTTTGGTCCTGTATTTTCTTGATAGAGGTACTCCAGAGGCTCGTGGTATTCACGATTATGAGAGAATGAATGTACTATTACGAAAATGTAGATGAAACATACAGCATTTACTACTACTAGTTTTAAAATAGGAATAAGGCCTAAACTAAAGAGGGTTGGAGGGAAATTAGGCCTAAACTAAAACGGGGGCATGATCTGTAATTTATTTCTCTCCTTTTTCTCTTTTTCTTTCTTATATCTTACTCCCTCCGTCCCATTTTATATGAGGTACTTTGACTCGGCATGAAATTTAAGAAAGAAAGGAAGACTTTTAAAACTTGTGGTCCTAAATGAATGATAGAAATTTGTGTGGCTGTAGATCATTTCATTAAGGGTAAAATAGATATTTTATAGTTTGATTGTTACTTTATATAAAAATGTGTCATTCTTTTTGAAACTGACTAAAAAGGAAAGTGAGTCATATAAATTGGGACAGAGGGAGTACATAGTAGTTCAAATTTAAATTCATCTTTCATACATAATCTAGCAACTTCTCTTGCCCATTAAATCAAGAATTTTGTCATTTGTTGAATTAGGGGTTTTCAGTTATTTTTGGGTGAAAATTTAGGTTCTGACTTCTTTTTCGCCTACTTTTTTTCATCTACATTTGAATCACTCGGTATATATTGATGCAAAATCGTTATTTTCTCATGGTTATAGCTTATATTTACTTCATATTCTAAAAATCTTACGTCGTCATCATAAAAAAGAATTAAAGGTCTTTGATTTTTGGAATTGAAGGTTTGTACAAATAAAATTAATAAGTATATACATGATTTTTCATGCATTAGTGCAACAATCAATTAATTTAAAAAAATACAAATTTTAAAGGCTTAAGTCATCTGTGTCCCTTAAAGTTATCCATATAATTCACTTAGACACATCAACTAGGACTAGTACCTATTGAACACTTTTATCTATCCAAAACATGTTCTTATTAGACCTTTTTCGATAATGAGTAAAAAAAATTAAAATGTGTGTGATCATACACTTGCTATGATGTGGCAAAAATGACTAATTAAAAGATGACATGTGTGGCCAACAACTATAGAATTTATTTTTATGTTAAAAATAAAGAAAATTATTTCAAGTAAATTTTATATCTATTTTTTAATTAAAAAATAAATGAAATAACAACACATTTACTCAACCCCACCGGCCTACCCTACCCAACCCCCTTTCTTCTTCATCTTCTTCCCAGCAATTTTTTTTCTCAAACCACATAAACCAATTTCACTGCAAATTACTTGCAGATTCAATTTTTTAAATATTTTTTTATTCCTAATGCGTGAGAGAGAAAGGTATTCAAAGATACAAATACAATAGTAATGAAGAAGTTTGTCAATGATTACTCATTCGAAATCGATTGCAAAGAAAAATCGAGAGGACTCAAATTAATTTTATTGAAAATTATTTTTCATAAGAGTGATGAAGAAAGGGAGTTTGCCAATGGTTAATCATCTTGAATCGATTGCAAGGAGAAATCAAGAGGACCTAAATTAATTTTATAGAATTATCTGATATTGTTTTTGATAAGTTTAGTGGGTTTACAATTTAATTTGAATGGAGATATTTATTTGAAGGTGGCCGAAAATGGAGATGGAGCGTCAACTAACTTTTTTATCCAGATGTTAAAAAATCTGCTTTCTTTATTTTTATTGCAAATTCAATTAGTTCATTCAGTTTTTTTTTTTTTAATAATTATTGAAAAGAAATAGAAATGAAAAAAACAAAATAAACAATGGAGATTCTTCAGTTGTCTTTGAAAATTTAAAGTTGGTGAAGAAGATGACTTAGAACGGAGGTGAGGGTGCTCTTTCTTTTTTTGGATTAAGAATTATTATTTTTAAAAATATTTTAATTTTGTTAAATGCTAAGTGTGTTATTTTGGAAAAAATAAAAATAAAACATTATTTCAAAAAAATTCACGCGCCCAAGAGGTGGAAAACACTTATTTTGCCATATCAATATTTTGTGTTTAATAGGTACATTTTTTGAATAATTTAAATGTTCAATAGATAATAGTCCTAGTTAAAATGTCTAAATGAAATATGCTGATAACTTTAAAGAGTTGTGAATTACTTAAGCTAATTCTAAATGAATGTATAGACGAATGCATACATGAATATGTATACATATTTTAATGCATGCATATTTCATATGCATTGCAATTGATATCATAAATTCAACGAAAAAGGGGCAAAAATACCCCTGTACTATTTGAAAAGGTTTAAAAATATCCCCATCCATCTATTGGGTTAAAAATACCCCTCAATCAACCTTTTTGGTCCAATATTACCCTTTAAACTAACAACTTCATATTTTTTAATTATTATATTTAATTATTATTATATGACGTCTTTCTATTGGATAAAGTTAAATTTCAACCCACCAAATTTTCTCCTATTCACCCGACCCATATTGACATTCCTTGACCCAAACTCAATTAAAAGATCCATCACAAATAAAAAAGATATCGTCTCTTCTCCATCACAGTTAGGAGCTGAAGGTTTTGCTGTTAGGTTCTTGTACACGATTATTGGATTGTTGTTGGCACTAATGACTCATGTTTTGGTTCATCTGAAGAACAGAGTTTGCTGGATGGCTTTGGGGCATTTACTTATGTCTATGCATTTGAGCTTGTTAACTTGATTTCACCAGTG